TAAATAATCGTGTCTGGACCAGACACTCCAGTAATCAACATCATGAGCATTCATCTACGCAATTGGGATACGGTGACATGGCTCAACCAAGTAAGCGAACCTGACCACCCGATCCCATTAGTCGCCTCTGACGACAACCATGGGTTAATGAAGACTAGTTCTAATGGGTTTACACTATCTGGTACTTTTATTTAGTGTACAAACCATCTTCGAGTCTCTTGCAGTAAAATAAGTTAGAGACTTAGTGAGTTAGGTTTTACGCCGCGTTTAGCAATGCACCAGCAATATCACAGCGGGGATACCAGAAATGGGCATCACATGTTGTACCCATGTAGGGGATCAAACCCGGATCTCTGGCATGACAATTAGGTCTTAAATGACTAAGCTGCCCCCTATCACCCTCTTGCAGTAACGTGGGCGGTGGTGTAACCTAGTGGTTAAAGCGTTGGCTCGTCACGCCGAAAATCCGGCTTCGAATCCCCACATGGGTACTATGTGTGAAGCCCATTTCTGGTGTCCCCCGCCGTGATGTTGCTGGAATATTGCTCAAAGTGGCGTAAAACCAAACTCAGTCAGTCAGTCTTGCAGTAACGTTCTTGATGAGTACTCAAAGTGGCGAACATACGTACCCACGCCTTCATAAAATGGCACTGACACCTAAACATTATCTACTGTCAAATGATTATTTGGGCTTTGAAGACGAGATCTTCACCCACCCACTATTTAACCTGTAGGATGCTTGTCTACTCCTCAGGGAGCTGAGAGTGAAAATTGAATGCACACTGATCCGTTGACCGGGATATTCATGTCAGGCACTTTGACCATTTTATTGTGGGTTAGTTTTGTGCTATATAAGTTACTACAAATTAACGCTTAACACTCAGTATCTATCAGAGCAACAATGGACTTTCAAAGTCATCAAACATGGAAGGCTTCAGTTTAGACTTGTAATGTGCTGAAGGTAACGATTCTCGTGTACTCGAAACGTGCATCCCATATGAAAGCGATCCCGCCCCTCTGAAGTAATTTGCTTAGTGAGGAATGTATTTGCATCGGGCATGATGAGAAACTGAAGAGCAAACATCAATAATTAGTTGAGAAACGGTGGAGAGCGAAAGAACCACATCTCTTGTGGATAGAGGCATCAAGTTGTTCTCTTCAGAGGAATGTGTGTGTGTCGGAAGACTGAACTCGGGTTGTCGCTAATGATTGAGTAGGCGAAATACTATGTGGTAATACACAAAACAGCTTGGAGAAACCGCTCTTGAACAACATGCATCCTTTCTATTTTATTCCGTATTGAACCTATGACCAGAGACATTGTAAAGCTACTGAAAACACTATTTTCAAGGGACTTCAAGTTGAAAAAGTGATGTTCAAATAACACAGAATTAAAATCTTCAGTGTAAAACTCAATTTCCGAATGTAATTGAGGTGGAGCGTTTTCGGTGAGGTTTAGGAGCACGCTCACTGCAGGCTGGGAATGTGTTATGGGGAAATAAAGAACATTCCATGAGAGTAGATCGGTCGTTAGAAACAGCATTGTCAACATAGCCAGCGAACATTGTAAGAGTTATTAAAACTCTGCCATTGCCTTACTTGCAGCCACATGAGCTAGCGGGCAGTTAATATTGTAACTGAGCGTTACTCAACAGTGAAATTACACCAACACCAACTATCTACAACTGGGTGAGGATTGTTTAACGCACTGCTTCATGTAGATACACTTTAGACCTTACAAACCAGCCACTGACACAACAATCCACACCGATGTCGGAAACACTCATATCGAGTGACCATCCTCGATCCTCTTCGTGGCTCTACCCGTGGAGATCTGGGTTAGAATTGATCTTCAGCAACCCATGAGGCGGGATCGGGTGGTCAGGGTCGCTGACTTGGTTGATACATGTCACCGTATCCCAATTGCGTAGATCGATGATCATGCTGTTGCTTATTGGATTGGATAAGAGACGACTAACGGGGTCGGGTGGCCAGGGTCGCTGACTTGGTTGATACATGTCACCGTATCCCAATTGCGTAGATCGATGCTCAGGCTGTTGCTTATTGGATTTGATAAGAGGCGACTAACGGGATCGGGTGGTCAGGGTCGCTGACTTGGTTGATACATGCCACCGTATCCCAATTGCGTAGATCGATGCTCATGCTGTTGATTATTGGATTGTCTGGTCCAGACTCGATTATTTACAGACCGCCGCCATATAGCTGGAATATTGCTGAGTGCGGTGTAAAACTAAACTCACTCACTCACTCTTCATGGCTCTTTCGACCATCACTGGGAAACATTTTCTGACCGGATCCTAACAGAAGTTTTCATGATCAGAATACGGTGTGGAGTGGCCGAGTGACCCCAAACATGCCCACGGAGTCGATTGGACACAAACAGTTTTAAACATAACCTCATACGCATTCATTGGACACAAACAGTTTTAAACATATCCTCATACGCATTCATTGGACACAAACAGTTTTAAACATATCCTCATACGCATTCATTGGACACAAACAGTTTTAAACATATCCTCATACGCATTCATTGGACACAAACAGTTTTAAACATATCCTCATACGCATTCATTGGACCCAAATATATATAACCATACAAAAACGTATTTACTGATTTTTTGGGAACCCGCTCTGTCCCGTATTAAAGTTTTCTTGTGACGAACCCATTGAGCTTAATCCCCATTTCTTCGTGAGTGGTGACGTTTCCTTTATGGTGAGGCCAACTGGAATAATCTACATGTCCTCTACCACTACTGTTTTACCCATTCAATGTATAGCGTTGCCCATATCCTAATTCATCACGATTATATAGTCAGTACATCAAACAGTGTACATTGATAGTCTGAGATAAGGGCAGTTGGTTTAATTGCATGTTGTACGAGGTTAACGCTGGTGCAATCCCTCCCATAGTAGTTGAAGTGCCAGATGTCAAGCCTGAGTAAAATAGCGTGTACCCATTCCAAAGATCGAACCTGTTGACTGGCATAATGTACAGGCTGTTTTCAGGTTGGCGGATGATTTATCACTTATTGAATAACACTTGATCCATGTACTTGGTGTAGACTGTATCTTAACTTGTCATTTGCACGTTCGATGGAGTCATAATTTTGAAAAGAAACTCTGATGTTACATTTAATTTTTTTGGGATAAAATGAAGCTTCGATTTCTTCGAAACATGCTTTCCTAAATTCATTGAGGAAACTTCGTCCATATAAATGTACATATAAATTGCTCTTCATGGCATTCCCTTGTACTAACCCACACCTGACTAACTACTGGTTTATATGATGTTATTAAAGTAAATGAATCATGTTACCGTGACTTTGTACCAGTGTGTTGTTGCGCTCGTGTACAGAATGCTCATCTAAACATTTAGCGTATTCACTTGAGGCAAAGACAAATGTCGGTATATGGCCACATACAAATGCATGAACGTGTAGAATTCTATCAATCCTCTCATAGAGCCAGAAACCAATATGTATCATCAAGATATTCAGTTTGATTTCTATGAAACGGTATAGTTCAGAAATCGATGAAGTTTTTACCCTTGTGCCTTTAGACCGTCTTGTCCAGACACGTTCATGGATGTTAACATGAATCTATGATCCCACGAGAAGGGCTATGGCATTCCAACCATTTCCCTCTTGAATTATAGTGACTGGACTCAGATTTCCTGATTATTGTTTAGGGATAATCACTTAAAGAATTTCCATTGATGCCCGCACGCTTCAATACGGTGATATAACTCCAAGTGTGTGGGAGTGTCAGAATGAAATACAATTGCTGGTAAAAGAATTACAAGGATATTCACATTGATGAAAAAAGCTAAACCACTATTTTGACAAGAAAATGGGATTAAGATTACTATTCATTCATTTATTTTTGTTTGTTTGTTTCTTGTGCCACTCACCAAATTTCCAGCTATATGATGGCTGTCTGTAAATGATCGAATCTGGATCAAACAATACATTGACTGGTATTAAGGGTATCGATCTACGCAATTGGGATACGATGACATGTGTCAACCATGACAGCGAACCTAACCATCCGACCGTTTATCGCCTATTACGACAAGCATGAGTTGCTGAAGATCATTCTAACCCAGATTTTCAGAGCACATTTCATTTTGTAATCTCCGAAGGTCTGACTGATATTGACCAACGAAACGTGACAGATCCTCTGGGCACATCATGGACACAGTCTTAATACATTATATATAACAGAAGATGGGCGTTTGAGTAGTCTAAAGGTTAGAGTGTTTGCTCGTGACTCCAAACGCCTGGTTGCGAAACATCATATGGGAAGTATGAGTGGCGTCATTTCTGAAGTACCCTACTGTGACAGTGTCCGATTATTGGTGAGGACGGCGTCAAACACAGTTCGCACACTCACCATTAGTGACGCTGTAGAGCTGTTTTAGCAATGAATTAGAACTGACAGCAGTAGATACATTGTTGCTGCAAGGTAGTAGTAAACATGGGTTTAGTGTATCAACATGCACATAAGCTAACATGTGGCAGGTGGGTGTGATACCCGTGTAGATCCGAGTTAGAATTGGTCTTCAACAACCCATGCTTGTCGTAAGAGGCAATTAACGAGATCGGGTGCTCAGGGTTACTGACACAACTCATCGTTTCCCAAATGCGTAGATCCATGCATATGATGTTCATCACCGGATTGTTTGGTACAGACTCGATTATTTTCAGACTGCCGCCATTTAGCTGGAATATTTATGAGTACGGGGTTACACAACAAACAAACAAAATATACAAACAGCTTGATGTAACAACATGGCCATACTGTGTCAGGTCATCTCGTATAGTTTGTCTTCCCGAGAGGTCATTCTATAAAACAATATACGTTCCATACAATCCAATTTGTGACGGTTGTAGAATCTGACAACCACCCACTTTAGGCAGTTGAACTTTCAAATGACGCCATGAAATGTATGCTTACATTATATGTAAATTACTTACCTGTAAAAATATCAGTATTTTACAAAGCGCTGATCCCAGGAACCAGGTCTGTGACACATCTGATATCAAGGTCGAAGGTAAACACACAAGAATCACCATGAAGTCCCCAAGAGCCAGGTTCACTATAAACACATTGGTTACTGTCCTCATGCTGTGATTCTTCCAAACTGCGTACACCACCAAGAAGTTGCCAACAAGTCCTAGTATGAAGGTCAATGTGAACACAATGATGATGGGCCATTCATAGGCTCTGGGGAACGCATGATCTTTGATTGCGTCCAGATATTCTTCTTCAGTCTGACAGTATTCATTCCAACAGTTGGTTTTATTATCACCGGTGTCGTTAGAAGTCATATTTCCACTCAGAGAATCAACAGTGACGTTTATACCCATTACATCCATGTTGAACCTAACACTGGCTAACCACGACTGCTTCAGTTCCGCCTACGATCCTCGCAGATTGGAAATCGCTTTACAAGATTGTACTTGCTCGTACACCTATAATTCAACTCGTGTCTATATGCCCTCCTCAAAACACCATATCGTTTGATGGTGTTATATTTATAACATTGCAGATGTCTTGCTTGTTGCGACCTCTTGCTGATTGTGCCCGAGTGTCCGTGCCACTACAAAGTGAATTTGGTAGAAAGTAGAACCTTGTGCTCGAACTTGATGCATAAGATGCCACCGGGGTCCCTGTTTGAGCAGTAGGTCGGAACAAGACGATGGGTATTCAACGCATTACTCGAACACAACGACGTGATTATCACAGTCAATTTGCAACGTGTAGAGGCAGAAAATTAGTGGATCATCCTTTACTTGCTCTTGCCTGAGTTGACGACTATAACATTGACGTATTTACTCAGGTGGGAGGTCTGTTTCCTTCTCATTCAGTCGATCATATGCTGACACCATTTATCTGAAAAATCCAAGAGGATGAGATGAGATAATTACTTGCAAAACGATTTGCGTCAGATGCAAATGAATTTTCTGTTAAAGACCTGTCGAACAATAATCAGTCTTGTGGACACTGAACTGAACACTGCTTACCAGGGTAATGAAGTGTCAGTGGAGATAATACCTCGTCGTTGGTCCACGAGGACCTCAGGACACATGCAGGCGAGTCGTCCAGATCATTTACAAACTCTGTCGGGACCGAATTGGTAAATTCTCTTCCTGAACGACTTCTCCCTGAGTCCACAATGGACCCGGACATTTAAGCGGTATTCAGTGTAGGTAACGCGCGAAATTAATAACTCGACATGTCAATACTTCATATCTATTTGGGTCAGTTTAACGAAATGGCTTGGGACTGAATAGGCTTTACTTGTGTAAGGTGATGATTGGCAGGTTCGGTTAGGAAAGTTCTTGAAGGCTGGTAATGATGACTATTTTCAGGCCGAAATGATAACCATCTACGAGTTCCGTTAAACTCATTTATCTGATAGCTGCTTTGTCGTTATTACTGCGCTAATGGTGTGCACCTAGTGACTGACATTGTCACTGAAGATTATTTCAACGTCTCATTTATATGAAACTAAACATGATGAATGCAAATTGTGGGAATTACTGACAGAGAAATCTATACGGTGCCCCAAATCATAAGCTTGTTACAGATACTTGTACCAAGAGTCCCTTGGCGATGTTATAGGGTTGTCGAAACAACACGATAGTAAGAAGACCGGCAAACTGTTGCTGATGTCTTCACAAAGGGGATTTCAAAATTTGATCGGAAAATTTCAGTTATTTGCGATAGTATTTAACGTACATCCTATTAATCCCATCCACTGACGAAATACAGACATACGCCATTTCAGAAATGGTTGCGTAAATTGCACTTGTGCATGACATGATGGATTTCAGACTTCCATTTACAATTTGTAACGACATCATGCTCGTTGTGTTTCACATTACCAGTAGCATTGATCAAATACTGAACGCTTACGCTGTCCTTCGTATCCTTTCCTGTCAATCATAAGATTATTTTCTCAACAAAATGTATTTAAGTATTTGAAGTAATGTTCTGAAGCTAGTCCTCACGAATAATTGTGCGTTTGTTTCTGAATACGGAAACACTATTATTTTGAAGAATTAGTATAATTTATCCTTTCATGAACACTATTTTGTGTGTTGATGCTATTAGTCATTTAGTAATTGGGCTTGTTGCTATAAATGAATGAATGAATACTCTATATTCCCCCAAAGATTTGGAGACTACATGCAATGTCGTTACATTACATTACTTGTCAGTGGCAATGGAAACAAATATATGCATATGAAAATGAAACAGGGTTATCAGAAACGAAGGAAAATATGAAAACTGTATTTACATGGTGTGTGACATAGTTACACAAATATAATATACACATTTGGTTCCATGAGCCGACATTTTTAGCCACGATACTCATGAATGTTGCCCAGCTGTCAAATGTCATGTCGTGGACCACGTCTGTAACGGTACCGATATATGTCAGAACATTAGCTTCATCACTAGCAGTGTCCTCGAGTCCGAGATAGGTGTCAAGGCTGAGGATGTCCTCGGAGGGTAGTAGGTACCATATATTGAGATATCACTGAGGTCGTTCGAGTATCAGGGTAGAAGGATGTTGCGAGGGTGCTCTGTGAGGATGTCACGGTGTGAAGATGTGATGGCATCAGGAGTTAGATTGCTACATGATGTAAAGGACCAAAAGGTGAACGGACATCAACGGGCACTAGCAGGTACCACATATTAAGATATCATTGAGGGCGCATGGATATTAGGGTATCAGGATGTTAGGATGCAAGGTTGCCCTGTAGGGATGTCAGGGTGTGTAGATGTGATGGCATCAGGAGTTAGGTTGCTACATGAAGATATAAAGGAACAAAGATGAAAGGATGTCAACGGACGGCAGCACGTATCATATATTAGATAGCATTAGGGCGCACGGGTTTTAGGGTATTAGGATGTTCTGTGAGGATTTGAGAGTGTGAAGATGTGATGGTATCAGGAGTAAGAATTCCATATGATGGTGTAGAGAAACGAGAGTGAACGGATGCAGCGGTACCAGGTTTTTAAGGATGCAGTAATACAGTAGTACCATATGCGAGGAATGTGGAATATTTATCGTGTCTTTGAATATTTACAAAGGATTTCACGGTACCAACTATTCCGATAAAGTTCTCAAGCTCAGACACAAAGGTTGTTCTTGAAAATGTATATTTTTTACCAAACTTTTGTCCCTATTCTTTATTTCACGTCGTGTCGAAGGTAATCTTCTAAGATCATTTGGGAACTGATAAGTTATTTAAACATATTATTTGGGTAAATATGCGTTGTTGTTAATCATAAACAAATTCCCCTCCCATTATGGTGCTAAACATTCTCCTAATGTTTTACGACAATCCTTTCAGCCGACGAAATCCGAGTTTATGGACAGACACGGACATACGGACAACTACAGTACTTTGCGATCAATTATTCCCGGTGAATTACACATGAATGTGCGAAACAGGAATATAGGCTCAAGAGAAGTATTAGAGATCGAAGAAACACGCTTAGAAATAAGCCGGTCCTTTTTTTCGTTGGACCTTTTTATTCGGCGTATCACAAATTAGGATAAAAACCTTGTAATTCAGCTTCTTCGGTGATGCTAATTTTTCGGAATGACTGAATTGGTGTTATTAGCTGGCACTTGAACATAGCATGGTGAAACTTGGAATCTAATCTAAACCTCGAGACGACGTCCCGGCCATCATGTTTCAGGGCAGAGGATCTATATCGAATTATAAAGTGTCCAGCTTGCCGCCTCGATTTGTATAAATGCCGTGCATCTTTAAATAAGATTACTCCCCAACTCACGCAAAGCTATGGCTTTTTCATATGGAAGCGAATTTTAACTAACGCAATTGTAGGACCTTTACTAAACACAATCACTTTGGCAAAACCCTTGAGAGAAATAGTTTCTGTGACTTCGTCCAAACGCTTGCACGTCCACGTGGGCAATTAGGAATAGCATTTGATTAACGGCGATCAGTGTAATTTGACTTCTGTTGTAACAAACCCATTCCGATTGGAAAATAAATCCGTCCAACCTTTTTGAAGTGTGGAGGGCATCTTTTTGTGGTTCTCTCATGTTTCATGTTGGCTTTGTAGATGAACTTGACCACGATTTTCACGCCATGAAGGATTAACAAAATGATCCCAGGGGGAATCTTGCAATAGGTATCGATTGTGTAGGCCGAGAAAGAAGACCTAATCATTATTTCATACAGAGTCAGCCTTTGAATGATTCAATCGCTAATTCTACACAAGACATTCACAATTCTTGTAGCGATACCGACCACAGGATGTCTTCAGACTTCATTTTCCTATTACAAAGTCTCTGTTATTCTGTTACGACTGTGGTCAGAATGAAGAAACACTCATGTTGTATGTCGCGTCCAGCTACTTAAAAATGCATTGCTTTCTATACATATGTGTTGACGTCTAGAAGGCTATGCTAAGCATCTTACTTGCTGAGGTGTTATAACATCATTTTACTTTTGAAATATTTAATTTGAGAATCTGAGAAGGAGCAGGAGCAAGTCATGTAATGTAACAAACGAGGGACACATTTGCACACAGGATGGACTGGTTTGTTTGTTTGTTGTTTAAGGTCGTGCTCATCAATATCCCAGCTTTACGGGAGCGGTCTGTAAATAATCGAGTCTGAACCAGACATTACAGTGGTCAACAGCATGAGCACCGATCTACGCAATGTGGATCCGATGGCATGTCAACCAAATCAGCGAGTCTGACCACCCGATCCCGTTAGTCGCCTCTTACGACAAGCATGGGTAACTAAAGATTAATTCTATCTCGCTAGATTAATTCTATCTCGGAACTTCAACGGGTCTTGTGGGGCGGTGGGGTAGCCTAGTGGTTAAGGTGTTCGCTCGTCACACCGAAGACCCTGGCTCGATTCCCTACATGGGTACAATGTGTTAAGCGCATTTCTGGTGTTCCCCGCCGTGATATTGCTGGAATATTGCTAAAAGTGGCGTAAAACAAAACTCACTTACTCACTTGCACTTGCACACAGGTAAATGTAGGACTGAGTTATTATAAGTTGTTCACTGGTCACGAGGTGGACATGGGTTGATGTACCCTCTATGTTTGTTGATAACATAACAAACATAGAGGGTGCATCAACCCATGGGCCCCCGAGTGACCAGTGAACAACGTATTTATCTTACCGAACACCTTAATGTTAATTTTGAACTGTTTGAAGCACGGGTATTGATCATACTGAGGAGTACTGGAGTTAGGCAACAGCCCAAACACCACTAACACAAAGTACCAAACGAATTCCCACAGTTCGGCATTTCCAGCGGGTAACATAGAAAATGTTACTCGCTTGTAAGCGGGGTACCTTGATTGCCTTAGCCAATCAGAAAACGACATTTATGTGTGAGGTAAAATAAGATATGATGTAGCGTGGGACTATACATTGTAATTCCGATACATGGATTCATCACATATCGATACATGTATATACAATTTACACTTGACGATGGCAAACTATATACAATACGAAAAGTAACTGTCACCGATAAGAATCTATAAACATGTACCTATTCATAAAAATAACACAAATATACCGTTATGTCGGAGGCATTCGCAAGCCCCTGCAAATGTAACTGAAGCCAGTACATTGATAGGATTTCATTATGAATCTTCTTTTTCAGAAATTGGTTTCCACTGACCACAAATTAATCAGAGAAACTACAATTACATACTATTATCAAACAAATAATAAACATCAAGTCTTACTTCAGTTTGCCTGGAACTGCTGAATGATCAGATGACAAAAGTACTCGGAAAACCTGGCACCTCTTTTGACGTAGTCCACAGGTACACACTTATTCTCCTAATACTCGCAAAAGAGATCGTACAAA